GAGTTAAGCAGCTAGATCCCGTTAAAGTAGATGAAGCACCTCAGCAGCTGCAGAAAAAGCGGGAATATACTATTGCTAGAGATCGGTCTAGACGAGATATCTGACCACCGCGAAGTTATGAAGATACGATAGCTTATGCATTGTTGGTTGACAATTTTGTGCTCTTCAGCTATTCAGGAGCTACTTCAGGTGAAAACTTTGCTAATATTTATTGTCCGAATGCGGAAAATTCAGTCGATTTGTTGAAGTGGCTTTTTTCAGTTAGCAAGTTCAAGCCAAGCTTGGACTTCATCGATACGTGCCGCACTTAGATGTCGTGCGGGCTATTGGAGAAAGTGAAGTAAGTTAGCTTATTTTGGAGCGATGGATCTTCTACGCATTTGAGTCAATGTGGAGATTTGTTATAGGTTGCCTAAAATACTCAAATCCATATTGTTTTGGGAATTTTTTTATGTTGGTTTATTTTGATCAATAGTCCTACTTACATTAGACTTTGCATAACCAATCATATTAGAGGTTTATTCCTACTTGGGTTCTTGTTGGGTTTTAGGACATATGAACCTCTATTCCTATTAGAACTCTTATTCCTTAGACAACAATGAGCTGAGATCTTCAAGGCTATATAAGAACAGTCTTTCAAGCTAATTAGATTCATCAATCTTCAGAGCACCAATCAATAAGAGAGTTCTTTTGTGAAGCATATTTGATATTCTTTTCTTTTGTTCCTTTTGTTGAGAGTTGTATTAGGCTTTTGGGGTGTGATTTAGGATTGAGAGATTGAAAGATCCACTTTGTATTCCTCACAATTTAGTAAAGTTTTCTCCTCCTTCGCCCGTGGACGTAGGCTACAAGCCGAACCACGTATATTTTTGTGTTTGTGTGTTCTTGATATTTTTCGTGCTCTCGTGTGATTGATATTAGCTTATCCTGAGGAATTAGTCATAACAATATATACAACTAATGAACATGATATATTTCATAATTAAAATACCTGTATAATATATTTTCCATATAGATCCATCTGTATCAGAGCTTTAGCTTGAAATGGCAAACATGCAAAACCAAGGACAAAGGTTCCATAGCCTACCTGCACAAAGGGAGGGGAAAAAAAGTCAAGCTATCAAGTACTAATCTTAATTTTTTTTGTTGAATTAAATTATAAGTTTGGTCCAAGTGTTAATCTTATTTTATTATTCTTATTGCTGGAAAGCGTTTGTGCATAGCCTCAACAATGTCTATGAAGGAGATAAAAAAAATCCGAATTCAATTTAAACTCATCTTGTAAAGTAAACAGATACAATCTTATCAAGTTAAAAAGATAAAGATGAAGTACTCAAAGCTTATCCAGATTCATAGAACATTCAGTATACGAGGACAGGATTTTTATCCTCTACATTAACAGCCTGTCTATAAAAAGCCACTTCATCACTCCCAAGTAGTCATTTATTAACAAAATAACAGAGATAGACTTGGGAGGCAAAGAGAAAACTTTCAGTCAAATAAGATACAACAAGAAAAATTATTAAGAATTTTATAGTAGAAATATAACTACGAAACGCATGATAAAATATTAATTAGAATGAAACAACATGTAGAGTTAAAACTGAAAATTGATCAACATTTTCTGCTATATATGAATCTTTTATCTTATTATTTATTCTTGTCCAATTTCTAAAGTAAACAATGTATAAAACACTGAATCATAATCAAGTGGACCGAACACAATCCAAGCTTTACAGAATGGAAACAACTACTGGACCTCACAAAAACTGCTTAAAATTTTTAGGTAGAGAACACTTGCCTACCTAAACAAAGTCAAATTCTATCTATATATGGAACAAGACTATTTTTATTCTAATCAAAGGACTATATATGAGCTTTATTAACAGTACAGATAAATAATACACAATTATAAGAATAAATATCCCCTGATGCTCTTTACTTATATGTTAATGACGTGATACAACTGTTAATGGTGATCCTAATAATATGCTAATGATCTGGATATGCTAATAATAAGAATTATGAAAATCTGATGTATGCCACGACACTTAAACCAAGAGTGCTGCTGAGACTCATTAACCCTTATTTCCTTTATTTACATAGATGGAAATACCTAGGGAAGGAAGGAGAATTAAGTGAAAATTTTGATTAGGACCTTCTACTCCATGGAAATTAAGTGGAAATTCCAATAAACATTCGAATGTTTTGATGAGAAATGTATTGTTACCGAGTGTGAGGCTATCCTCTTAGGCCTGGTAATATTGATCTTGTGCTCATGCTCATGCTCATGCTCCTCCTCCTCTAAATCCTGAAGGGCTGCACCAAAGTCTGATGGACCGCTCCTCGCCACTCTCAGGTATGAAGCTCCCCCATAAGGAGAGCTACCACTGTTGGCAAGAGACGTTGCTGACCTATATATATTTAATTTATTTAAACCCCAAAATAGTTTCACATTGTTACGATAAGGTCCATTTTAATTTTAAAAAAAGGGCGAATTGCTGATACACCCGTATGCGAATTACATCATGATTTTGGCAAATCTTGCAGATGCATCCATGTATTATAGTAGGGACAGGGATCATATTTATTCCTAAGTTGTTTTATTAGCACTTTTGACTCTCTGATTTCAAAATGTATATATCTTTCTGTTAGTTATGTCTGTCATTTGAGTGTCACCTGATGACAACATGTTACCCAGATATTCTTGATATTTCAATGGGTTACTCAGCGAACTCTATGGGTAACAAAGAGAGATTTACTGCACATCATTGGTAATTAAAAACATTTATAAATAAAAGTGGAAAACCTCTTATAGTGCAGGATGTGTATCTGAAATTAACCCTATAAATAAAATTAGAAACCAGTATGCAAAATATGAAATACGTGTAATGAACATCCATCTGTGGTGAGGTTGCAGTTGACACAGTAGCAGATATTGGCATGGTAGGGCCATATTTATCTGGGTTTAAAGGCTTCCTTTCTTCATCAACCTAAAATTAACAGAAAAAAGTGAGATGCAATATTATATAATCAAGAAGAAGAAAAAAACAAAAACAAGTGTGCTGCAAGGTACATCAAAGGTTGCATTAAGATTTTCTTTTGTATAGAAAATATGATATATTTATTTATTTTTTATCACCCAATCCAAAATTGAACCTAAGACCTTAGAAGCTATATGGAACCTCTCAACTATCTGAGTTACTCCTGGTGGATATATGAGATTTATTTTTAATAAGACTATCATATTTTATATTATAGCAGAACCTTGAATACATATCTGACACATTGGTAAAGATAAAACTTAATACTATACACCACTATTTATTCACTAGTAGAAAACCCCTTATTAGCGACGGGGTATTGGTGACGTAAACCAAAGCTGTCACCAATACATACATTGGCGACGGCAGGGGTGGTGTGCGACAATACCCTCGCCAATGTTATCATGTGCCGGACAAGAGTAAGGCCCACTGCCAAAGAAAGAGCTAACGCCAAGATCATGTGCCGATGGTCCCCCCCCACCCGCTAATGATGACTCGCAATAAATGATAAAAACCCTGAAGCCCAAGCGACCCGTTAGATCTGCTTTCTCTTTCTGCGATTTGCTCCCCCACGATTTCCATCCACCCGCTACTTAAACCGTCGTCGCCCGCAAGCCACCACTGGGCCCACGTCCCGCATCGTTGTCGCTCAATCCTCGTCCACACGCTGCGCTACTGCTTACTTGATTGCGCTGACGCCATTGACTCGCACATGCCTGCTGCTTACTCGCCTGTGGCGTCTCCACTTACTCTAGTGTGTTGTCGCCGCTAGTTCGCCAGAGCCCGCCGCCTACTTCGTCGTGTCACCGGTGACAACCCAACCCACCTCGTCTCCTCCTTTATCAATCTCTTGTAAGTTTTTTAAATTTTACAAATTTACCACTTTATAACTATTTTTATTCATTAATTAACTAATTAAATTGTTTTTGGTGCTTAATTGTCCTAAATTTTATTATTCGAATACCCCCACCCTGAACTCCAACCATCGTCGACATCCTCTACCTCCTTGAAAAAAGGTTTTAGTCTTCACTTATTTCCATTTTTATTTTTTTATTATTATAAAATTATTATGAAATTAATAGTATTGATTTTTATAATCATGCAAATGTAGTTACCCTAAACCTAAATGACCTAATTTTAACTCTAATTTCACAAAAACCTAATATTACCCTAATTCTAAACTTAATATCGTAATAATCCAACAATTACCAATATTATACGTGCCCTAGGACTAGTGTCCTAGTAACACTAAACTTAAATACTACCCTAGTGCTCATTACATTTAGTGTGATATATAACACAATAATGTGTTTCATATCCATTATAGGTGAATAAAAAAATAGTTAACACTAACCGTAGATCTTCGTTACTACCAAAATTTTGGACTTATAATATAAGAGAGACGACTCAAATTTAAGCATGGAATTTAATTCCATATCGCAAATGCTAGTTTACTTATATTATAAGTAGAGAGAATTGGCATGTAACTATTGGATCTGTTCAGTTCGGACGGGTTAGGAATATAATAGTGCACACATCTAACTTTGTATATGTTGTGCATTTTCAATTCTAGAAAAATTCGGTCGCATGTAGTCATTGTTCTCCATGTACAATAAGCATATGTTGCTATGCGTTTCGTATTTACCAATTTTGATCTATTACTAATATGCATAATAATATCCACACAGTATAATCGGAGAACAGCGGGTAGGTGCTGCTGAAATTTTCTAGAAATAAAAATACACAAAATATTCAAAGTTAGATTTAAGTACAACTATATTCTTAATAGCATAGAAGTCTTCTTATAACAGTCGAGAGAGTTTCAGACTAACCTAGTGTTTGTTCAAATGTAGACAATGAAGATTATCAAATAGTGTTTAGGCCAATTTAGTACGACAATGACCATTTTAAAAAACTAACTTAGTATTTGTTCAAATCAACTACAGTACAAACTATCAAACTTAAGACGATTTATGAGATATTAAAATAATTAATAATTGTATCTTAACATACAAATGAGAGAAGTTCCTAGCAAGTTGTGGATTGATATTCTTATTATGAAAAGAAGAGCGGGACACCTGATATCGTGTAGGATGACAAGCCTTTCTTGAGTATGCGTATGCGAATCCGAGGAAGTTAGAGAATAATTTGCTATTTTGTCCGTGTAGCATTTGCAGAAATAGGGGTTTGGTGAATAGACTTGTTATATGAAAACACTTAGAAAGATGGTGATTTGATGAAAGGTTCAAATATTGGAGATTTCACGAAGAAGACGAAGATATTGAACAAGTTGACGAAAAAATAAACCTGAGGATAGTTGATTCACATGTAATGTTCAATAATATTGTAGCAATTGCATAAGTTACCAAAGTTGTAGAAATACTGAAGGTTCCCGAAGTTCTCGAAGATGCAAAAGGTGTCAGAAATCCTGAAGATGTGCATTATATGAATGGCTTTAAAAGTTTAATGAAGTTATCGGAAGATGACGAGAAGGATTTGTATGCCGGCTGCTTAGAGTACAATAGATTATCATTTATTCTTCAACTGATGCGTATTAAGACCCTCAGCAGAACGACAGATAATTTTTTTTAAATACTTCTTAATTTACTATGTAAGGTAATTCCGAACGGAGAGAATAGTATATTGTTATGTTGCAAATAAGATCGTTAGCTCTGGGTTTAGATTAGAATAAGATCAATACGTGTCCTAATGATTGTATCCTGTATCATAAGGATAATGAGAATATTAAGGAATGTCTAAAGCATGGAGTGCCTTGTTGTGAGAAAGAATACACGCACTTCAACACGAAAAGAAGATGAGTAAGTGAAGTAGTAGAAGAAAATTCCAGTGAAGGTGCTCTGATATTTTCCCTAGTGCCTAGGTTACTAAGGTAGTATATGACTGAAGACACAGTTAAAAATATCCTATGGCATAAGGAACGATGAGTAGTTGATGGTAAACTTAGACATCCGGCAGATGCAGATGCGTAGGAGCATGTAGAACAACCTTATCCCTAATTTGTCACAAAGTGCAGGAATGTCACACTCGGTCTATCTAGCGACGGATTCAACATGTTTGGCATTATGAGTTTGAGTTGGTCTACTTGGCCAACTGTGTTAATGCCTCATAATTTGCCATCGAGACTTTGTATGAAACAACTGTATATGATCCTTTTATTGCTGATACCAGTCAAGAACTCACCCAGTAACGACATAGATATGTTCATAAAGCCATTAGTTGATGAGTTAAAACTTTTGTGGGATGAGGGGATCCAAACATAAGATGCATTTTCCTATGTCATTTAATCTCCGTGCTATTCTTATGTGGACGGTTAAAGATTGTTTAGCTTATGCTAATCTCTCTGGTTGATCAACAAAAGGGACATACGCTTGTTCTGTATGTGGTTCAAACTTTGAGGCTTTCATTTATAATAGAGTCGAGAGATGTATTATTAGTTTACCAGAAGATGGTTATGAAAGGAACATAAATACAGGGGTAAAAAGTGGGTGAATAAATTTGATGGCCAAGAAGAGAAAAGAGGGGAGCCACATGTAATGACCGGAGATGAGATTGTAGAAATGTTGATGGATATCCTAAAATCAAGTTCAGAAAGCCGATAAATAAGAGAGGATATTCTAGCTCTGAGATGCAATTCTATCATGAAGAGGAAACCGAAATGAAAGAGACAAGTGTCCATTATGGATGACATGCATGTTGAGGAATTGCCAAGAGGACGGAAAAAATTTAATATATTCTTTTAGCTTCCGTACTAGCAAAAGCTCAAAATTCGACATAACTTAGACGTAATGCACATTGAAAAAATATTTGGGACATCTTATATTCCACACACTTACAGAATGGTAATAAATCAAGGAATGATTTATGGACTCGGCGAGACTTGAATGCATTGAACATTTGACATGATCTACAAGTACGAGAAGTCGCTGATGGCAAATTTGAGCTACCCTCATCTCACATTACGATGTCAAAGGTTGAGATGCAGAGATTTTGTGAGGTGCTCAAATCGATAAAGTCGAAGGATGGTTATTGATCTAATATTTCTAATAATGTTCAGGTGACAGAGCGAAAAATTTTGAGACTTAAAACTCATGATTATCACATCCTTCTTCACTAATTGCTTCCGGTAGCACTCGGTAACAACATGGTCGATGATAAAGTAACAAAGATTATAATTGAAATCTGTGGACTTTTTAGAAAGTTATGATCAAAGTATCAATGTAGCATTTCGACGAAAATATGAATTCAAAAGGGCTTCGATTAGGGCTCGATCTCATTGATGAAGTCTAGGAAAAGGCTCTCCGATCCTAAGTCGTCAACCAACAACGTTTGTAAGGCACTACAACAGCAAAGTCCGGCCCAAAGATTCAACATCGATGATCTAGTTCTACGAAAATTCATTTTCGACAGAGATATCGGGCACAACAAATTGGACGCCAATTGGAAAGGCTGTTATACAGTCCTCGAAGAAGTGCACCCAGGCACCTATTGATTGAAAAGCCCTGATGGAAAGATCTTACAACATCTCTGGAATATCAAGCCTCTCGAAAAGTACTTCAATAACCTTGATTGTAAGACTCGTTTGTAATATAAAATCATTTATGTTTAACAAATTTATCATATTGTGCTCTTGTGGCACTATAAATACTCGTAGGAAGATGAGACTGACTCATCCCTTGAGTGGTCGACTCATACTAAGACCTTGGCATCAATCTCCTAAGTCCAAGACACGTACCAAAAGGCCTTGATATCATTCATATGAGTAAAGACAAGGCACTCCATCAGCAAAAAGCCTTGGTACCCTTTCGGGATAAAACCAATGCGCGTTAACCATTCGGTCGGCTTCGACTCAAAAGACCTTGGTGTCATTCATATGAGTAAAACCAAGCCACTCTATCTGTAAAAGACCTTGATACCATCTCAGGATAAAATTAATGTATGCCAACCACTCGGTCAGCTTTGACTAAAAAGACCTTAGTGTCATTCATATGATTAAAACCAAGACACTCTATCAGCAAAAGACCTTGGTACCCTCTCGGGATAAAATAAAGGTGCACCAACCACTCGATCGACTTCGACTCAAAAGACCCTAGTGTCATTCATTTGAGTAAAACTAAGGCACTCTATCAGCAAAAGACCTTGAAATTATTCATATGAGTAAAATCAAGGCACTCTATCAGCAAACGACCTTGGTACTCCAACGCGCTTTGCAAGGCTTGAACTTCTGCAAGGGACAACTCGTGCTGTAGTTCAACTACCAACGCGCCTGAGAGTTTTCCTCTAGAAGCCTCTTAACGGCTACCCTTTCCTCCTCCAGCTCAGTTTTCAAGCGTTGGACGACATGACTGTCTGACTCTGCTTGCTCTAAAGCTTGATCCCTCTCTCGTCTCCCAAGCACGACCTAAATATCTTATCCTTTTATTTAGTTCGTGGAGCTGACGCTCGAGCTTGCAATCTCGACCGACTTCTGGCTATGCGAGGCCTTTAGACCATTGATCATATTCTCCCGCACCTCCATCTCTTGGCCCCAGAAGACCAGTTCCTTCTCCTTAGTCGTCAATGATAGGAGAGCCTTTTCCAAGTCACCTTTTTGAGCCTCCAACTCCTCCTGAAGCTTTAGATAGGAGGCTCAGACTTGTTTTGACTGGACAAACATATCCTGCTCCACCAAAGCCCTACGAACCAGGTAGCGCCTAAGGCTCAGGTGAAGACCGATGTCAAGAACCTCCCCCTAAAAGTTCTTCGTCATGGGGGAGGTGGATTGTTCAACCGCTTTCGACTGGTCGAGGTGAGATTCATTAACCGATGCCCTCTCATCAAGATAACGAGTTGGCCTATACATGTGCTCTAGAGTCAGCTCTTTGTCATGTTAGGGACCGACTTTGGAGGACCTTATCAGTAGCATCCTCAGATTGTTCCACTTCTCTGGCTCGATCTCATCAATGCGATGAGGATGCGGTTATCCCAGTCCCTCCGAGGGGGACGTCTCCTCTCCGGTCGACTCATTCCCTTAGTGTTGGGTTGATTTAGCAAGAATAGCTGGAGCCCCTTCACCCCCTCCATGAGCCTTAGTCTCCACCTGAATCTCACCCTTCCTAGGGTCCCCAGACTTGATCTCCGCCACCTTATGGCCGGCCCTCTCTTCTCTTGCTGAGGACTCATCATCAACATGGATGACTTCAATCCCTATCATCTTAATTGTTTTCTCGGGCCCTTGGTTACTCACCTACCTCAGCTTTTTATTCTTTTCGACCTGAGCAATCACAATTGTTGGTCCCGCCGATCCAGTGGCTATCTTGGCCGCTTGGGCTCGAGCCTCCATTGCCTCCCTAAAGACCAGATCCTGACAAGGTTGCTTCCCCAGCCTCATGGAAGGTCCTTCCTGGGACCCCTCCTAAGTTTCAACAGGAAGAGCCGTCTGCATATGGACAGCTTCATCCGAACCCAAAGTCAGCATCGTCGCTCTCGCATCTTCCCCGACGGAAGGAGGCACAGAAGAGATACTGACTACTTGCAAGACCAAGTTATCAAGTAAGGATTCTATCTTGTGAGAATCTGTGTACACCTTAATCTTGTCCAGCACCCACCTCTTGGCACTAGATAATGGCCCCACCTTCAGAGCCTCTTTAAAGATCTCGGGCCAATCAGAGCAGCCCAAGTCAGATTTGTCTCCCGAAACCCATACGAACCTCTCCTTTCACTCTTTGTTCATTTCAGGAAAGTCGATGATTATCTTGTATGCCCTCAACACCTGAAGATAATAATGAGCCTCTCGCTGATGCACTTTGACACTAACAAGGTTGCCAAGCATATTTAAGGTTAATTCGACTCTTAACTAGTGACAGATGACGATGAACCCTACGAGGGTAGCAATCGAATTAGGCTTTATCTGCATCGGTGATACCCCCAAGTCCTTAAAAACTTGGCAGAGGAAAGGATGCAGGGACAGACGTAGACTATACTCCAAACGCTTCACATACATCGGAGCTTGGCTTGCGTTATGGTCAAAAACTACGTGTGACTTCGCCGGCGCCATCAAGGTAAAAGCTCAAGGAATGTTAAGTTTTGAAAGTTACAAAAAAACCCCCAAAAATGTAAAAAAACCCTATCGCAAATGACCCCAAAAAAATTGCCGAAACCCCTCAGGAAAGTTTAAGAAATTTCAAATGATCCCCCGAAAAATTGCAAAACGCCGCCAAAAGTTTCAGAAATTGCAAATGATTGCAAAAAATTACATAAAAGCCCCCAAAAGTTTTAGAAATTACAAATAACCCCTAAAAATTGCACAAAACTCTAAAAATTTCAAAAATTGTAAATAACCTCCTAAAATTTTTACATAAAACCTCAAAAAAGAAGAAGAGGAAGGGGTTCTTTTTTTTTTACTTGGATATGAAGGTTAATACAAATGAGTGAGAAAAGAGGGGAGGTAACAAGTCAACAGATAAAGGTAGAATGGGGAGAAATAAAGGTTTTTTCTATTTTAGGGTTTCAATATATTTACTTTATATTTTGGAGCATAAACACTTAATGACTAAGTCTTGGGGTTTAGTCACATATACTTCCCTAAAAGAATATTTCCCCAAAATAATATTGATCAAGACCCACCTCTAATGTGGGCCCATAGCCTCTATTCTACCACCATGGGTTTATAGTCACATATACTTCCCTGAAAATATATTTCATCAAAAAAATAATGATCAAGACCCACCTCTAATGTGGGCCCATAGCCTCTATGCTTCCACCATCTGGTGAAGCAATCATCGTAGTAAATAGTTTGCACCACTAACACCAGAGTGGTAACCGCGTACAACTGCACCAAACATTGATTTGCATATTAGTAAAGAGTCTTTTTTCTTACAAACTATCTCTAAAATATGGTTATTTTATGAAAATCATCTTTTATTTTTAATTTATACATAACAATCAACTATTTTTTGTTGCAACCAATCATCTGGCCCAGTATCCAGTTGAATTTTTGGGTAATTGACCCCACCTAAGATAATCTCTCTAATATACTTGGTTTTTGAACTAATAATTTCAACAAAGCCTAAAAAACTTGGTTTAAAAGTGAGTTCTGGTGGTTAATTGCAACAAAAACAGTTTAAATGTGATTTATATATGTATAAATTAAAAATAAAAGATGGTTTCGTTAGAATGACTCTATTTTAAAAATGGTTTCCATGAAAGAACCATAGAAATAAAATCAATTTCTCTATTTATTAAAATCAAATTGAAAACTAAAAATTAATCTTACCACGGCTGAATAAAATTGTGTTGGTAGCTGCATTCCAAAAAAAAAAAAAAAATTCTAAGGGACTAAAAAAAATTAAAACCAAAATAAAATCATCAAAAAAGTAACAAAATTAAAATGCATTAACTTACAGTGGCTGGTTCAAGAACGCAACCCACCAAGTTAAACACATCACTACACCAACAAAAAAAAATCACTTAAATAGATCTCAATTGTATATGTATTGCAACTTAAACATCAGGAGAAAATGTGTAAATCGTAGATAATCTTTTTTATTTATGACTCCAGCAGTACTTATTACCTCTCAACTCATTTATTAGTACTTATGACTCCAAAATTGATGAAAGGAGTGTCAAACTGTCAATACCTGAGATAATAAATGTTACTGAAGTCTGAAGATAAAAATGAGGGGGGGTTATCTGCAATTTATCAGGAAAAAGGAATATTATCGGTGACAGACCCAGTGACCCAAGTGAGGAGGAAACATAGGGAGACTCCATGGCCAGACTTGGTTTGGAAATTGGTGATGATCTGCGGGATCTCAGCGATGGCCCAGCACGAGAGGCTCAGAAGGCCCAGCCCAAATGAAATCCCACTGCTGAGGTCGCAGACGCAGTCTTTAAAGTACACCTCAACCCATCTCACGCAACCATTGACGCAAGGAGCCATTCCGTCTGGTGTAATTTGGTTTTGGAGAAGCTTGTTGAAGGTGGTATCTCGGAATTCCATTCTTTTTCAACTCGGTTGAGAGTGTATAAACCAAATTTATGAGGGCAGAAGGGGAATTCGAGAATCACAGTCTACGAGGCATTTAAATGGCACGACTACTAATGATAAGGGCACTCGTGCCACTTAATTTTGAATTTCTAGACCTATCTAGATAAAAAACTTAAAAAAGACCTAACTAGATTTGTAGAATAGAAAGAATCTGTCAGCATATACCCCAGCCACTTAATAATTGAATTATATTAGCACGTGGTGAATGTAAAAGCTAAAACATTTATGAGAAGATTATAGCTAAAAGGTGGACCTCACGTCTGAGTTGTCAGAGAACGCAATCCATGGTGTGTTTAGGGGGTGTTTGTTTGCATGCAAGTGAAAAATGAAAGTGAGAAAGTTACTTTCATTTAACAATTAAGGTGTTTGTTTACATGTAAGTGGTTATGAAAGTGAGATGTAAGAAAGTTGCCACATAAGATTTAATGCAATTTTGACTTCCCCTAAAAAAGTGGTGAAGTCACATGAAAGTGACAAAAAAAATAACTAATTTAATTAAATAATTTTAATTATATTTTCTAATTAATCTTATTTTGCCACATCATCTTCACATTGCACTTTCGATAATAATTTAATTTTTCAAACAAACACTGTATTTCACTTGCGTGCTGACATGGATGTAAAAGTTATTTGTAAAAAAAAAGTAACTTACATATTTTAAATTCACTTTCAGATTGCCAAACACCCCCTTAGTTTGGTTGAGCGTTTTTGGGATATAATACTGTACTCGATAGTATGTGATAATATTATAACAAAATCAGTGTTTGTTTGGGTAGATGTGGTAGCTACTATAGCTGAGGTGGTACTTCCCTGTTAATTCCTAACAGAAGGCTTCGTTTTAAGGTGGAGTTATCATAATTGTTAGGTACAGCTGGACCATTTGATTATGCGTTACTATAGTAATCGCGCAGTTTACAAAGGAATATCCGAACAGACTGTGCCACACAAGAATTGACGGAAAATCCGAGTAAAATAGAGGGATTTGGAAGCACAATACTTAAAAAATATTTTAGAAATTACCAAAAGTCAAAAAATTATTATTGTATTACTTTAAGTCTTTTAATTTTTATTGATTTCACATAGTACTATTACTACGATACCTATTTTAAAAATAGAAATTTAATCATAAGTACGACCCACAACAACTATTCAAATGCATCAACTTGGTATACAAATAAACAAAAAATTCCATATTCTTGTTTCAAAATTAACTTTTTCTTCAACTATTCTATCGACTAAACACAAAACTAAAAATTTAGGCTTCTTTTAAATACCATGATGTTTTCCTTATTTCCATAATACTTTTGGAAAAAATAAAATAGCATGCGTTTAAAATTTTTGACCTAAATCATCCTCAAACAAAAAATACAATACTTATTTCAAAACACCTTTAGGTTTGGTTTTAAGTTTGACGAGGTGTTAATGTAATACCTAACATAATATATTAAATATTATTGATATGGAGTTATTAACAACATGCTCATTATATTATATTATTTTATATTATATTATACTATATTATAGTTAATCTAATGTATTACTAATATTTTATTAATACTATAAAATATATTAATAATTAAAATATCATATATGATAGTATAATAACATATTGGATAGTAATATTTAATATGTTGTAATAATTAAAATATAATATATAATAGTATAATAACATATTAGATACTAAATATTATATTTAATTATTAAAAATTAGTAGAATAATAATATAATAATAAAACATTCCATAGCATACATTATATAGTAAATATAATATAATATATAGATAATATATTAATATATGATATAATAAATAAAAAATATATTATATAATAAAGAAAAGGGTTTTTCTATAGAATGCCCATTGGCACTCTATAGAAGAGGAGAGAGATAGAGAGAGATGATTGAGGAGGGGGCCCACCTGATTTGTATTAGGATCTCCTCCCCAATCATCTCTTTCTATCTCTTTCCTCTCTTATAGAGTGCCCAGGGCACTCTATAGAAAAACCCTAAAGAAAAATACATTGTATAAACAAAACTTATGAGGGTAAAAGGTGAATTTGAGAATCACAGTCTACGAGGCATTTAAATGGCACGACAACTAATGATAATGGCACTCGTGCCACTTAATACTAAGAGCATCTCCAAGGGTTTCCTATAATGTCCCTTAATTTAGGGGGAATTTTAAGGGAGGAGAAGGTTCTCCTTCAATGGTTTCTCTTAAAAGTCCCCCTACCTCTTAATTATTCATATTTAAGTGTTTTAATTTTATTGATTAGGATTTAATTAAATATATGGTTTGTTTATAAATAAATAATTAATTAAATATTAATAACTAAAATTAATTAATTAATTTAAATTAAGAAATTACCTTATGTACTCATTAAATTAATTAATCATATTAAAATTTAACAAATAATTAATTTATATAATAATTAATTTATATAAATCATGTTAAAAGTTAAATATTATTTTAAATTTAGATTCATATTATTTTAATATTAATTTCATTTAACAATAATATTTCAAAGGTTATATCTCAACAGTCGTATTATAACGTTCATATTTCAACGGTCATATTTTAACGGTCAAATTTCAATGATATACTAGAAAAACAATCTATAATTAAAAAAGCCTATACTAGAAAAACAGCCTATACTAGAAAAAAAGCTATACTAGAAAAATACCCTATACTAGAAAAACAACCTATAATTAATAAAAATATTAATAAAAATTATAATAAAAATTATAAGGGGTACATTTTTAAAAATATTAATCAAATTGAACTAACTATACATTAACTTAATTATATTATTTTAAATTAACTATACATTAACTAAATTTAATTAACTATAAATTAACTCCAAAATAAAATATTTTAATTTAAAATTATAAGGGGAAGGTTAAGGGACTTTAACATTCCCCTTAATTTAGGGAGGAAGTTAAGGGACTTGGAGTGAAGGGGATCTTTTTCCGGTCCCTTGAAGCACAAAACCCTTTAAATCTCCCTAAATTTAGCTCAGGGGTCGGATTTTTCCGGCCTCTTGGAGATACTCTAATACCTTCAAAATTTTGAATTTTTAGACCTATCTAGATAAAAAACTAAAAAAAACCTATCTAGATTTGTAGAAAGAATCTGTCAGCATATACCCTGACCACTTAATAATTGAATTATATTAGCACGTGGTCAATTTAAAAGTTCACATTTAGGGGTTGTTCGGTTGGCAAAAAAAACATGGAAATCAAAGATAAGGAAACTTATTTCCTATAATAGTTCTTTTTCTTGTGTTTGATTCACTTCTTAAAAGTAAAAAGAAGATGAGTTGAGATGAGTTGTCACAATATTATTGGATGATGTGAGTGATTTTTTTAAGAAAGAAATTATAAAAAGTATTTCGAGATTGTTTGGTTGGCTAAAAAAAATATGGAAATGAATTATAAGAAACTTATTTCCTATAATAGGTTCTTTTCTTACGTTTGGTTCATTCTTAAAACTACGAAAATAGATGAGATAAGATGAGTTATCATTATATTATTGGATGATGTGACACATACTTAAGGAAATTAATTTCCTTGTTTTTTTAGGAAATTGATGGAAATAAAATTTTAATGAGATGAGATGAGTTGTCACCATATTATTGGAGGACGTGAGTGATTTTTATGGATGAGATGAGATGAGATGAGATGAGTTGGATGATGTAACTCATTTCTTGTGTTTGGTTAATTTTTAAAAGTAAAAAAGGAGATGAGATGAGATGAGTTGTTGGATAAAAATAATATTTTATTGAATGATGTGGGTGAGTTTTAGGGATAGAAATAGATAAAAATAATATTTTATTGATTTCCATGTACCTATTTCCTTTTCTTGGTTTTTAGGAAACCAACCAAAGGGACCCTTATGAGAAGAATATAGCTAAAAGGTGGGCCTCACGTCTGACTTGTCAGAGAACGCAATCCATGGTGTGGTTGGTTGAGCGTTTTTGGGATATAATACTGTATGTGATAGCTGTGATAATATTATAACAAAATCAGTGTTTGTTTGGGCAGATGTGCTAGCTACTATAGCTGAGGTGGTGGTTCCCCGTTAATTCCCAGCAGAAGGCTTCGATTTGAGGTGGAGTTACCATAATTGTTAGGTACAACAGGACCACTTGATTATGCGTTACTATAGTAATCACGCGGTTTACAAAGGAATATCCAAACAGACCATCATGACTGTGCCACACAAGAATTGCCGGAAAATCCGAGTAAAATAGAGGGATTTGGTAACACGATACTTAAAAAATATTTTAGAAATTACCAAAAGTCAAAAAATTATATTGTATTACTTTAAGTCTTTTAATTTTTATTGATTTCACAGTACAATTACTACGATAACTATTTTGAATAGAAATTTAATCATAAGTAGGACCCACAACAACTATTCAAATGCATCAACTTGGTATACCAATAAACAAAAAAAATTCTAGATTCTTGTTTCAAAATTAACTTTTTCTTCAACTATTCTATCAACTAAACACAAAACTAAAAATTTAAGCTTCTTTTGAAGACCATGGTGTTTTTCTTATTTCCATAATGCTTTTGGCAAAGACAAAATAACATGCGTTTAAAATTTTTTGAGCTAAATCATCCTCAAACAAAAAATACAATACTTATTTCAAAGCACCTTTAGGTATTTTAAGCTTAGTGTTTTGGTTTTGAGTTTGAAGAGGTGTTAATGTAATATCTAACATATAATATATTAAATATTATTGATATGGAGTTATTATCAACATGCTCATTATGTTATATTAATATTATATTATACTATACTATATTATAGTTAATCAAATATATTACTAATATTTTATTAATACTATAAAATATATCAATAATTAAAATATTATATATGATAGTATAATAACATATTGGATAATAATATTTAATATGTTGTAATAATTAAAATATCATATATAATAGTATAATAACATATTAGATACTAAATATGTTGCTAATATATTAAATAATAATATAGTTAAAGCAATATAATAATAATAATAATAAAATATAAATAAATTTTTAATAATAAATAATAATATAATAATCACGTAATTATATACTATATAATAT